GCCCCACACTGCCCCCCTTCCCCTCATTTAACTAAAATTAAACCCTGGCCCCCCCCCCCACCCAAACTACACCCTTTGCTTGCAGTGTAGGTAGGCAAAACCTCCCCCTCTCTTCCATGTCCCTGGCCTTAAGTGTAAGTTTTTGCAGTGGGTGTTCCTCCAGCCCAGACTGCAGGAACTGGGAGCGCGTTTCCAGGGTGCTTCTGCCATGGAGTCAAATCACAGCTTCCAGAATAAAGTCTACCTTTTTCCTTGGTTTTTCCTTCCCTGTTTAACCCACATGCTGGACTTAAGCAGGCATCAGGAAGAAAAACTCTCCCTTTGAGGAGTCCATAGAAACTCTCTGCAGGCGACATGCTCTATCTGGCCTTTGAAAAGGGCATGTGTGCTTGGGGGCAAGGACAGAGTATCACAACAGCCCCCCGCGCACTCACAAGAGCAATACTTTTAATGCATGCAATACACCTTCCAGTGCCCAAGTCAGGGACAATTACACACCCCTATGAAAAGAATGAAAAAAAAAATAAAAATGCTAATACTAATAACAATAATCCCAGCATGAAAAAGGGCCCAGCTGCAAGCTCCCAGCTACAAACACTGCAATCTGTCTGCCTTGGCAGCCGCTCAGCCAGAACCAGAGGAGCGAGGCACCCTGTGGGAAGGGGCTCCTAGTACCCCAGAGGGCCTGGCCTCCCCCCACAAGCTCCCGCTTAGCGGCTAGGTTTGACCTGCCAGCTTGCCCCAGAGGGAGGGGGAGAAGGTGCCCCCCAGCCAAGGAGAGGGACCAAGGTGGCTGCCCAGGCACTGCTGCAGGGGAGGGGAGGGGAGCGGAGCGGACCCACCCGGGCGTGGGGCGGAGGGGGGACTGCTGGCCCGCCCTCCTCCGGCAGGGCGGCGGTGGCAGGGGCTGGGGACCAGGATCCCGGATCCCTACCTTGCGGCCGTCCGAGCGGCCGCACCTGCACCGCGCAGAGAAGGAAAAGCGCTTTCTCCAGGAAGGGGCGGGGCTTTGCGGCTCCGGGCTCCTCCCCGCCCTCTGGGCCCCGGCTGAGTAGCGGAGGCGGCGGCCGCCCTGCCCGGCCGGGGGAGGTTCGGAGCCCAGGGCGGGTGACATCACACAGCATGCCGTGACGTATTACCCCCCCACGCACAGGCACCGTTCTAAACCAGCCTCTACAGAGCGGATCCTACGGGAGGAGCGGGAGCGTTGCGGCGTGTAGATCAGACAGAGGTACCCAGGAAGGTTTTGCCAGACACTCGCTTTTCTGAGAGCAAAACCTGTCCTGACACTGAATCGTCGTCATCGGATCGTAGAAGTCAGGCTGGAAGGGACCCCAGAGGTCACCTCTAGCCCGACTCGCGGCCTGAGGCAGGATGAGCCCTGTCCAAACCATGGTATACAGTACATAACCTACCCTCTAGGTCAGTGCTTCCCAACCCGTGTGCTGCGGCACAAAGTGTACCGTCAGAAATGAACATGTGTGCCGTGGACTTCTGCCATGGCAATGAGCTACAGTAGGTATGAGGATGGGGAATGTCTTAACAGGTGTGCTACAGAACGTTGTTACTAATGTAAGTGGGCCTTGGGCTGGAAAAGGTTGGGAAACACTGCTCTAGGTCAATCTGCTGTGAACCCTGACACAACAGACCCAACACCCTCCCCTGCCACAGGTGAAGTAGGGCAGCCGACCTCCTGCTTCTATAAAAGGTCAATATACCCTCCTGAGACCTCTGGTAGAGGGTCAATCCACTCCTGCCTGCAGAGGAAGGCAAAAGCCCTGCAGCCTGTGCCAGTCTGAGCACGGGGTGAAACTCCTTCCAGATCCCAAATATGAGGATGGGTCTGAGACCCCAAGCAGAGGGGCAACACCCTCCAGCCAGGAACCTCTGGCTTGGACCCCAGCAGGAGCACTGGCACAGCCCAGCCAGCTGCTGCAGCCAACACCCAGTGCCTCTGTGGGAGGCTTAAAAACATCCTGACGTGTGGCAGAAATAGAGGGCGGGGCAACCACCAAAGCCCAGAAACATGGGAAAGACCCACAATAGAACATAAGCATAAAAACACCTAAAAGAAGGGCTGGCAATATTTGTGGGCAGAGTGCCAAAAAAAACCCAGCCTCAGTTTGTAAGATGTCAGCATGCCAGGGGAGCTGCAAGGGCCCTGATCCTTGTTGTGGCATCAAAGCTCCAGCCCCAACCCCTTCCCCACCATCTACCCCAAGGTACACACACCAAGCAAAATGCCTTCACGTGTCATGCTCTGGCATCCATGCCAGGTGTTGCCTACCCCTGATCTAGAATATCCCCAACTGGTGGCTCTCCAACCTCTTCTTCAGCACCTCTAGTAATGGAGAGCCCACAGCTTTCCAAGGCACTCTATTCTCCTGCCTCAGCATTTTAACAGTGAAGAAGTTTTTCCAGATAGCCAATCTAAATTTGCTTTGCTACAGCTTCAAGTCTGTATCCTCCTCTGCAGCGAGAGAAAAAGGACTTTTCGTCTTCTTTATGGCAGCCCTTCCAGTATTTGAAGACAAGGTAAACATGCCTACTTCCTTCCGCCTCTCCTCTTATGACTTGATTATCTTTGTTGGCTGCTTCTGGACCCTCTCTAACTTCTTCACATCCTTTTAAAAATGTGCAACCCAGAACTGCACACAGTACTCCAAATGAGTCCTAACTAGTGCCAAGTAGAGAGACACTATCACCTCCCATGGCCTGGCCCTAATGCTTCTTTTGATACATCCCAAAACTGTATCTGCCTTTTGTGCAGCTTCAACACATTACAGACTCATATTCAGTCTATGACCCAGATCCTTTTCCATAGTGCTGCCACCTATTCAGGTGTCACCTACTTTATATTTGTGTTTTTGATTATTCCTCCCAAGGTGCAGCACTTTGCATTTGTCCACATTGAACTTCATCCTGTTAGTTCTAACCCAGCTTTCCAATCTGTCAAGATCTTTCTGAATTACATTCCCATCCTCCATCATGTTACAATCCTTCCCAGTTTTATCATCCACAAACTCGCTCAAGAAGTTTCTACACCAACATCCAAATGGTTAAAAAAACATGTTGAACAGCACTGGGCCCAGGACAGACTCCTGTGGGACCCCACAGGCCTTTAACCAATATGCACATTTCTGGAGTAATTACAGTAGGTAAATGAAGTTCTGGATAGCACACTGCATCATGACTTTTGCAAATGGTCTTTATCCTGTGTCTTTATCAGTGACATTAGTAAACCAAGGCACTGTGTACACCAGCCTTTTGATATATGTATAACTTCTTAGGGCTTTTTTTGCAACTACATTAATCAGTTACTCTAAGGATAGGATTGCATTCATTTCTGGATGCCTAGACAACCAGATTTGGTGGTTTATGGGATTACCTAGACCCACAAATTGCTACTTCCAAACAGGTTCACTATTTCTGAATGCAAAGCCCTATGTACATAAATGGCTAAGTATGTGGCCAGAAATAGAAAGCCAGCCTGTATGTAAGTGGCAGTTTTGGGATTTGGACAACCACATAGGTGACTGCTGCTGTCTGTCCAGGTCATCTAGGCATCCAGAATAGGACACATTACCCTGCCCCCCAGATCAAAGCTGGGTACAGCTGTTCATACTGTCATCCAGCTTTCTCCATCCACATGACTTTAGTCTTGGTAATGATTTTGGCAACATTTGCTCCCTGCAGTTAGCTTGGAGGGCTGATAGGTAAATATGCTGTATTAGAGCAGCCTGAGTGGATGCAATGTTTTCATGAGTAAATATTACTAATCTGGCAACATTAGGAACTGTAACATCACTGGTGCAATCATAGGTAAGCAAGTTGTTTGATCTTTGCAAGTTCTTCAACAATGACAACCCATTGTTCATCAGTTACTCATGACATCAAATATATTCCATATGTCCATGGATTTAAAAAAGATATTTTTGCAATGAATCTGACTTTATTGTAATAGGTTAGCATCTGATACATCAAACACACTAGGTTTTTTTCTTGACAAAGTAATATTAACATGTTATTTATATTAATAAATTGGATATTCTTCCCTATGCCAAATTCAATTGCTACCTTGCCAAGACTTACTTTGGTACAAACAGTCTGCACAACAGCACACTTAAGCCCTTCTCTCTGCTTGGCATCTTGTATTTGCAGAAATACCCTTGTATATAATTAATACTTGTTCATGCTTTCACTTACTGATGTGTTCTGATTTCATGGTGGTAACCTACTTTCACCAACTGTAGTTATAATCCTCTTGTCTGGCAGTCTAAAGTGCTTATGCATAAAGTTTTCTTGCTAATTATAAAGAAAGGTTTCTTGATAATTATAAAAAGACCTTAGTCTTATTAGCAAATGTAACAGACATGTTGCTTATGTCGTCATAGATACCCTTGGCTCATCTTCAAGATCCCTGGCCATGATATGTCAGCAAGTCTTTCTGCATATTTTTTGTAACTGTTTGCTGAAGTAAGGCCTAACCTTGTTTGATGCATAATCTCTGGAAGTCATATTGATGTCTGGTCACTGTTAATAACAGCTCCATCAAGAACCATAAAAATCAACATCAGATTGATCACAACTGGGTGCAAAGTTCACTTCATTAAGATGGGCTGCAGTACCTGATCTTTGTTTGTTGTTTTTATTTAGAGAGTTATGAAGCATAAACACTGACTTTTGTAACTATAAGTTACGAGTCATTTACTTCATTCTGACTGGCACTGATTCAAATGGGGTATTTGCTGGATCTTTTTTGACTGATGTCAGTGTGATAAAATATGCAATCACACTAGTTTCTGTGTACTAACTATTGCAGTTGGCTGGACTACAATGTTAGCAGAGGCTACTCTGTCTAGCTCTACTTGCACTGGATGCTGTCTTTGTATGGACCCTCAAACAGAAGACAGCATATTTGTACAGAGGTTACAATGCCTGGGTGCACAAAACAGTTGGAAAAGAAAAAATAAAGGTCAGAAAGAAAAATAAGAGTTGAAAAGTCAGTGTGTCCATAACAGCCTGTAATAGTTGGCGATTTGATTAATTGACAAATCACTTTATAACAGATATTTGAAATAAACTAGGTTTAAAAATAATAGAAGCCTGGCCTAAACATTCTGTTTCTGCAGAAAAACAAAAGCACATCATTATGCAACAATGTTGTCATACTACATCATTTTGAAATGGCTCCAAATCTTAGGCTTTTGGAAGCAGAGGGCTTACTTCATTAGATGATAGCATCTGATGAAGTAAGCCCTCTGCTTCCAAAAGCTTGTGCGGTACATGTCTGATTTAGTTAGCCTATAAGGGCATGTCCAGAGGTGCACGAACATTTGGTTCTCTGGGGACAAGTAGTGGCAGCACACCTTACGCTGCCGCTTCTTGTCCCTGGGGAATGCCAATGCCACACATGCTTTGGCACATGGCAAGTTGCCCCTGGTGGCATAGGGGAGGTTGGGACCAGCACTGTGTTGGCCCCAGCAGCCTTACTTGTGGCCCTGGGAGCCTCCTGGAGCTGCAGCCACCTCAATCCTGCTCGACAGAGCCTGGCCAGCAGTTGCAGCACAGCTCCAAGCCGGGGGGGGAAGGGGACTGCAGTGCACGCTCAGACAGCGTACCCTTGCAGCACGGAGAACTCTGGACTGTTCAATACGTGGCACTACAAACATGTTCGCAGCACCACATACTGCACAATCATGCTCATCTGGATCCACCCTAAAGGTGAAACATCTACCCTGCCTTCAGGCTAAAAATGGCTAGCCACCTCTCTCCCGCTTCTTAAATCAATCCAGACAGAGATCAAATTTCCTGTGTTTAATCACCACCCCTGCAATTCAGCCAATTTTGGTTTACATATAAACTTCACTGAAACCTATATCCACAAAAAAAAAGTCACCACATCTCCCTTTGACTCCCACTGGGGACATCTACAGAGACACTTACTGCAGGGTTGCCTAATTAGCTCTGCAGTAAAGCTTTACCATCTACATGTGCGGTGCTATTAGGCCAAAGTAAATTAATTAACTCAGCCATAGAATAGTACTGCCCACCACAAGTGCTATTTTATGGTGGAGTTATTTACTCTGCCACAATGCACATGTGACTGCAGTTGGCTGGGGCATGAGAGTGCCATCATGTGGGCTGCCAGGTGGTTAGCACTGCAATGTAGCACCCTTGTACCCTGCACTGTAGCACCCCAGCCCCTCTGCAGCACACTGAACTGGGGTGAAGCAGTTCTGGCCTGGCAGGCTGACTCCCTGGGCCCCTGGCTAGCTAGGGCTGCACCGCCCAGGCTCAATGTGCTGCAGTCCTGGGTACATGTGCAAACACTGCACCTGGGAGCAATGAATACAGCACAAAGAACACTGGAGTTTGTGTCATACTACTTTCATGTGTAGATGTGACCACTGGGTATTAGTTTGGACTGGAACAGTTTCACATCCTTGGTGTCCAAGGGTTCATAAAGGGAGAGCAGGGGCATCTACACTAGTAGAATCAAAACTCCCTCCACATATCTCCACTCTTGAGCCTAGTTGGGATTAAGGTAGCTATTAAATAAGAATATGCCTGATCTTATCCCCTGGATACTTAGTCTTAATACACACAGGTTTTTTACCAATATAATTCAGCAAGCGGGCCGATTTTTTCACTGAAAATAGTTATAAGGTATAAATCCAGTGTGAGCAGAGGGACCTTTTTCATACCTTTGGCAGACAGAACCGTCTGACCTCAGGGCTCCCAGAGCAAAGAGGTACCTTAAAGCTAGTTCTCAAGCCATGATGTCTGGACACATTTCTTGAGGAAGAATTGTGCTATGTTCTTCTCAACCCTAACCTCTATTCTACCAGACATTCTAGGAGTGTTAAGACTCCTGCTTTTGCTTAGCTTCCTTTTCCTACTGCATAGAAGATTTCATGGTTCTTTCAATTCGGCTTGCCTGCACTTCAAAAGTGTACCAGCATAGCTATTGTAGACTGGTAATTTTGATCAACCTAAGTTTGGACACATTCTGGAATAAGAATATTCATGCAGAAGTTTCTTCTGCAATAACTATTTCAGGAAGCAGCCAAGTATACAACAGACCCTGGCATTTGGACTAAGCATTGCCAGTTCATGGTTTTCCTTGTCTCTTCTCTGATTTCTGTGTTTAAAAAAGCGGAAAGAGATTTACAGGTCTTTCTCTGTTATACTGAGACAAATCTGTCAAGCACTACTTTTGACCAGGGTCTTTACTGCATAAAGATGAAACGTGGTTTCTCAAAGGCTCTTTTCATTTGATTTGATTTTTTGCCTGATTTGGCCTTGCTTTTTAGACTTTAGCCCTGATCCATCTTCTCAAGATGCTAAATGAACCAGGCCCAATAAAGCTAAGAAACTTCCTAAAACTCTGAGATGAAGATCAGGGTTGACAACTCTCTCTCTTTGCAATGGAATTCATTAAAACATAAACAGTGTTTGTTCAAGAGACAGAACTTCCCTTGAGACCAATCTATGGCCACACAACAAACTTCCTTGGGAACTAAGGGCCATCACAAGCTTCACCACCCGGTACAAAAAAATCCCCCTAAAAAACCCTAGTATTAAAAACAAACAAAGCAAAAACATCCCCATGTACACACAAAACTGCCCTTGAGAAGAGGGCAAAATGCATATGACCACAAGTAAGCACTTCCTGCATTACATGAGGTACTCACAACTGTATTTATTTTATTTTATTTATTAGTTAAAGGTATTTAGGCACTAAATTCCCATTGGAAATTTGGTCCTCTGCAAGTGCAGTGATGGATGACAGCAATACAGGAGAGCATAATACAGTACAATATGATCCTGTTGCCAAACAGGAGAAGTAAAGTATCAGTCACACAAGCTACCTACCTTGCTTCTACTTCCAGTGGGAGAGATTCCCCCAGCTAAAAAAGCTCATGAATATGATTATGGATTTATGCAAACCCCATAAAATGTTCTTGGCCTTAAGCCCAGCCTTGGTGAAGAAATAAGTAGTTCTGTTGTACCAATCAAACAGCTTCCTCAGATCTGTCTAGTACTAAGAAGTGGACTAAATAGATCATCTGTGTAACTCACAGTATTCCCATGAACAAAACCAGAAAATGTATGTTTAAGATTTGCTAGAAGCAAGACTATTATGAGGGAAGGAGCCAATTCTGAGAATCTAGGCTGAAATTATAACTTCATCCCCAAATACCTTACAATTCCTATGAAACTTGAAAAATTACTGGTCTGTACATCTGCGTGTTGAGGTGACTGTGACTACTACCTTGTCTTTCCATTTGTTCACCTGGTGCATATTCTCTAAATACCTGATTGTGTACTCTCTGGGGTTGGGCTTCCCTTCGTGTTTTTGTTTGTGGAGCCTGATTCAACGGTGCCCCAACAATGAAACAAAAAGAAAATTCTGGCTGGTATCACAGCTGATTCTGCTGCCGCTGTAGAAGTTCCTGCTCCCTACTCCTGTGCTACCAGATCCCATCCAAAGAGTAGTCTTGTGATAAGGGATCAGAGATCTGGCTAGAACTTGCAAACCCAGGTTATGTGAAAAGCAGGTGGCAATGTATCATGATACCAATGTGGGCAAATGTCCCTCACATCGTGGGAGTCAGCATTTGTAGGTCAGTGGGGCTGGGAGACAGTATGGCCAATGCCTGGTGGAAAGTAAATATTACAGCATGTAGCTGGGCTGACTGCCGAGTCTGGAATTTATATTCAGCACAAAGGTGCACTGCAGTTATTCACTTAATATTTTAACTGAGTGCTTAAGAAATATTTATGCAGCCAAGGATCTTTGCTAGTGACAAGTTTGCTGAGGAGTGAG